GGACCATCAGAATTTCCATTAGGACTTGTCCAGGATAAAAACAAGTAACTAAAGTAACAAACCAATAAAAAATATTAAAATGAAAGATAAAAAATATTAAAACAAGATAAATTCTAGTGCCCTCTTCTATTAGTGAAGTTTCTAAAAAAAAAATATATCAAACGGCGCAATGCACCTTGGGTCGCTACGGAAACAACTTCCTTGTATAATTACAAGGGTAAGGTTTGCGTGCAACTGACCCCCAGACCCCAACTTGTTGGGAATATACTGGTTATTTTGTTGTTTTTTGTATAAAATTCAGCTTTAACTATGCTTGGCATTGTAATAATATGTGGGGTTAATTACATTAAACATCCTTGAGGTTCAGCTATTAACAGGAAACCCCAATTTAATGCTACAAAAATACCAAATACAAGTACTAAAAAAATTATTGACTTATTTACCAATTCATAAGCAACCAATGTAAAAAAAAAAAATCCCCACACCCGCATAGAAATATTANTTAAAAAAAAAAAAAACATTAAAAATCTTTCAAGATATTACCAAGGTGTGATGAAATAGAGATAATGTTTATTTTTCTCAAACCTGGTAAAAGAACGACGAGCAGGATAGCCACATCCAGTTAGCATTGTTAATTGCCCAATCTGAATCGATAAGAAGCCTCTCAAAAACATCACGTCCTTTTTCCCAATGCACAAACTGCAAAGATTTTCACCACTATCAATGAGACAATGATATAAAGGATATATTTGCGTATGGAACAGTTCCAGAAATCGATTACCAAATCTCCACGGGTTAGAAAACAAGCGACACAATGGCGAGCGAGATGGTGCATCCATCCCCATTTTCGAAGCTGTTATATCAAAAATGTTAAAAAATGTTTGGATGTAAAAACTTACCGACAATAACCAGATTTAGCAGAGTATATCAAAGAGTAATCACAGTCCAAAGCTACCTGCATCATTATAGCATCGATCCATGGAAATCCCGTCCTGCAATCCCTCCAAGCAGCCAGCAATTCATCATCATCTTTCCACGGTATCTAATAATTAAAAAGAAAGAAAAAGAAACAAATGAAAGAAGAAAAATACTCACTTGAAGGGACTAAGAAACAAGTTCTTCAAGAAGAACAGAGGTACACTATAATTTTGGTTGTTGTCTAATAACTAAAAGAGTTGGAATATCAAAGCAAAATGCCATTTACACATGAGTTATGGATGGAAAACTATCTGATTGGTTTAGATGACATAGCAAAATAATTAGTGTATGCAAGTTCAATTTACAGCTTTCGAATCATTGAATGTTCCAACGCAAGCACCAAATTCCTCTTAAATGCAAAACACCAGATAAGGGAAGGAAATAAACAAATAACATGACCTACACCATCAAGGGAAAATTGTACCACATGAAGGACGCGAACTCAAGGAGAGAAAATTGAGTAATTCAGTTTGCTACAGTAGAAAGAACAAAGAAACAGTTGCAGTCAACCAAATCAATCAGGGAATAACTTCCATACCTGTTTGCAAATTCTATTGTCCTTCATTTTATCAAAATTTGGCGTTCCAAAGGCAACCGTGTAAAAGAAGTCTCTCCATAACAACTACAGATTTCAAATCATCAGTTGAATGGAAGTTCAAGACATTTGATGTCATAAAAGTTACGCTTACTTGTCCTAGAAGGGAAACTGGAGGAGATGTGTGCCTTTTGCTACGGCCCTGAACCTCTTGAATGCATTGGTAGAAATATCTAGAAGAAAGACAGCCAAACTTCAAACAGTTTGGTGAAAGGATAATATTAGAATGCTTCCAGTACATAAATTGATAAGGACCTATTATTCATGACCTACTTTCAAATAAGGAGATAAAACAGTAGTGGCTGGTTTTAGAAATGAAGATGGATCTCCCTTGGGTTTCTCAAAGTTAGCTACCCATTCCTGCAAAAGGAATTACTAGAATTTCACAAATGTAGAAAATTTGTTGAAGAAAATTTGAAGCTCTGAATCTCACAAATGATTGTAAATCTAACTGCGAAATGGTCATTATCATAATATTGTTAGTAACTAAACTGTATCACATTAAAGTCACTAAAGTCTAATATATACCTCATTAGAAATGGATTCTCTCAACCTTCTCAATGCTTCAGATTCACCACCTTTGAAAGGAGTCCTCTCGTTCTGGTCAACAAAGTTCATTAGAGTGAACAAGAAGGACCTTTTAACTATATAAGTGAGCTCCATACCTCTGGAATGTTCTCATAGCCAAGTTCATTGATTGAGGGGACTTCTGATACTGGGCACTCCCCAACATTTCCAACAGGAGGAAGCCCACTAAGCTCAGTTAATATGGGAGACGAGTTAAACGAGGGCTCTCCAGCAAGTTTAACGAAAGATTGATAAGTCAACGGTGGCCTCCCTCCATTCTAAGCCCAAATAAACAAAATTGTGATGTTCTAACCGTAAGAATATCATTGTTAGCATAAAATAGAGAACACTTACCTTCTGAATAATATCTGCAGGATTGAAAAGTGTATGACTCACGGGAGAGAAAATTTCTATACCAGCAGCAGCAGCATATTTCTGAAAGATGTAATATAAATCTTTGGTCAGAATATTGCTTTTATGGGTACACAAGAACAAACACATAATAAATATATGAATCTTATGGGCTTTCGTGAAAGCTCACCTTCACTTTATCATCCAGGGACCTATAATATGGATCTGTGTCAAACTCAAAGCATAGCTTCTTTATGCTCCACTGGTGATTGGAACCACAAAAATTGAAAGAGTTACTGAAAAAGATAAGCAAAGAAATCTCATAAAAGTAAATAATGTTGTACACCAATCTGAGTTTGAGTAATGAAAATGGTAAGTGGTACACTCATCATACATTTAGATCTTACTATCATAAATTACTTGCGCATCTCCGAATGCCATGCACAGCCACCGAGCACAAAAATTACAAAGATGTCATAAATAAGTGACGATGTAGTTTTGTCATCACACAAATTCACCAATTCCAAGGAACAAATGATTAAACTGATGTAAACCTCAAGAATGGCCAGACTTCACCGTACAACAAGGTTATTAATTAGGACACAATAAAATGGTGCATCAAACTCAATATGTTTTAATGCAACCCTAACTAAAACAAATTTGCGTCAACAATTTTAACCTCAACACGCTTTAATGCAAAAGAATTAGCATCAACGAAAATTCTTTTCAAACTTTCAGTCAAAGGTATATGCAGTCAAACTCTTTTAGGCCATTTATATGCTTCGTTATAACAAAAACATCTGGAAATGAACAACCCAAAGGAACACAGAAAATTGCAGTAGACTTTGAAAGATACTCAAACAAACATGCTTTGGATACATATTTTCAAACTAATAACACACTGCATTATCCTCAATTAGAAGACAATTGACATTATCGAACAAACAACTATCATCCCACTTAATTGTGCAAGTAAATCCATCCAACCTTCGTTATAAAAGCTTAGATTAAACTTCTATATAAAGCAATTATACACAAACTTTCTCCATAATTTACTTGAATTTACCCAAGCTTATATAATTTAGGCAAATGAAAAAAGCAAATCAACCTCCTTCAAGCAGCGAAACAAGACCTCGCTTGGCTCGCCCTTGAGCACCAGCAAACGCGACCCCAATTTCTGCAGATTCAGGTTGAGGTCTGCCAGGCTCTCGAGCAAAAATCCGATTCGGTTCAACCCGGACCGCTTCGAACCGGGAGAGGAGGCCGTCGGGTCCGGTTCCATGTAGTGCGGGTCGATCACGAACAGCGGGTACAGAAACTCCGAACCCCTCGCGGCGTGCTCCAACGCCGGGTTGTCGTGTAGTCGGAGCCCCTTTCTGAACCACATAAGGGAGTTCGACCCGGACGCCATTGTCGGGTTTCGAGAGGTGGAGAGTGGATGTATCGGTGGCCTCATAATTTGCAGAAGGTGAGACTTGAGAGTGGTGGATTTTGAACTGTCTACGTGTGTTTTCCCGCCTTAAATTACATGGACTAATGGTTTGCTAATATGCGCCTGGAGTCGAAGGAAGGAGCTGACCCAGGTGGTTGGATGCTGGCCATCGAGAGGATACTACCGTGAACGGTGCGCACTATGCGCACGATAGTGAATGTTGGGACGAGAGTGATGGGGGTGGCTGAGAAAATGCCACGTTGCACCTTTCATTTCAACGCGTGAGTTCAATTAACCATTGGCATGTTAGTACTAATAAGAATGATAAGAATGTTTATTTTAAATGGATGTTTATTTTAAATGGATGTGTAGGAATATTATGTTTGATAAAATTAAAAATGAAAGTATTAGAAATAAAATTGAGGTAACGTCCATAGAAGAGAAAATGAGAGAATCAGGATTAAATAGTTTGGGTACACGCGTAAGAAAGACTTCGAGGCCCCAGTGAGAAGGATAGAAACATTAGAATTAAGAATGCAAATTAAAAGAAGGAAGTTAGACCTAAGAAAACTTGGCAGGAGACAATAAAAAAATGATTTAAAATATTAAAAGTTAAATAAGGATATGTGTTTTGATCGAACACGATGGTGACATGTGATCCATATAACCGACTCCACTTGAGAATTTTAACGATTTGTTGATTAATTGATTGATTGATCTACTTGCGTAAGTTGTACTTGAGTAAGTTGTGAACCTTAATGCAAACAATGCAGTATTATGTGTGCATTGCACTATACAAAATTTATTTATAAATTCAATTTTTTTGCTTTATTTAATTTTCAATATACCTAAAAATATTGGAAATTATAATGATGTTTGAAATAATTTTATAATTATTACTATTGATAATGAAATAAATACGCCCAGCTGGACATTGCTACATTTATTACTAACGGTCATTTTTTACTGTAAATTATAATTACTTTAATTCTCCAACGACTAGTCGATAAGAGCACCCACAATGCTTGGGGTCTCTTAACAAAAAAATCACATGCCACATGGAAAATAGACCTAATATATAAAAAAATACTTCCCAATGCAATTAAAAGTGGACATGGTCTAGCTTATGTGGCAATGAAAAAAAGAGACCAAGTCCACACTTGGGTCTATTTTGGACCCAAGTACAAACCCAAACACTCATCATTTGCTCTTAATTTAATTTTTCTTTTAATGAATACAACATATTAGAGCATTTTTATTGGTTGGCATGTATGCTAGACCTAGTATTTTTATTTTTGCATTGCAAAGTTTTTGAGTTTTTTTATTTGGGTTTGTCCATATCATTTAAGACCCAAGTACAATTATATGCCACATATACAAAAAGAGATCCAAAGCATTGTGGATGTTCTAACTAGGAATGAAGCTCCAACATCTTTTGTATGACATTTTTTTTTTCAAAATACATTTATATACACATTGGTATACTTGCTCTTGGCTTTTTCTCGAGTATTTTAGAGTTCGCGATCCTGCTCGCTACACATATCGGTTTGTCGAATTTTGTGGGGAATGACGTGTTTATTAAAACTAGTTAATAAGCTAGCTGATAGCTTATAGTTTATAGCTTATGACTTATAGCTGAAAAAATGACTTATATGATAAAAGTATTTGGTAAAATTAGCTGATAAGCTAGGTGAAATAAAAAATTCAACTAGCTTATTTGAAAAGCTACCTAAAGTAGCTTATGTGATAAACTCAAGTTTTTTAAAAAAGCTCGTCCTACCAAATGAGACTTATTTGAATACAAGAAGCTTATTAGATAATCAAATCAGCTATAAGCTAACTTATTTGGCTACCAAACATAGCCGTAGTATCAACAGTTCAAATTACTAGTGTATTCGGAAGGTGTCCTCTACAAAAAAGCGCTATGACGTCATCTGGCATATGCTATTCTAAACTATATAAACTATGTTTGGTAAAACTAGTTGATAGTTAATAAGCTATTTTATAACTTATAAGTTATTTTCAAGTTTATAGCTGAAAAGCTATCTTCTATGATAAAAGTGTTTTAGTAAAATTAGTTGATAAGCTGACTGAAATAAAAATTTCAATGAGCTTATTTGAAAAGCTAACCAAAGAAACTTATGAGATAAGTTTGAGCTTTTTAAAAAAACTCGTCATTCCAAATGAAACCAATTTAAATACGAAAAGCTTATAAGCTAACAAAATAAGTTATAAGTTAGCTTATTTGTCTTCCAAACATAGTCATATACTCTTTTTATTTTTATTTTTTATCTTTGTCTTTTGTATTTGTTGTTGGATGTGCATTCCTAATTAATAAAAATATTTCCTCGCTATTTGACTTAGTCTTTTTTTTTCTTAAAAAAAAAAAGAATTCCCAAGTAAATCCTCACAATTTCACAATAATCATAACAATTATAATAACTACAACAACCTAAAAACCTAAACTAAACTTTAAAGAAAAGAAAACAAACAAAAGGCGCGTTATAACATAAACAAAATAAACCAATTCTTGCCCAATGTTTGGTCTATTTCAAAATGAAATTATGATAATGAATTTACCTTTTGACAAAATGGAAACGGAGACATTCAAGATTATCCTCAAAATTGTCCCAAAGCATACACAATGTTATGTTGAAGGAATATTCGAGATAAGAAAGAGTTGGCACTTTCAACAGTATGGGAGTTCATAAATGTCCAACTTGGCTGGCCCATTATAGTGTTGATATAAGAAAGAAGATAGTGAAGTTCGTAGTGGGCCTTTGAGTGGTGATGTTTAGGGTACAGCCCAAAGCCCATTAACCTACATGTTTGACAGCAAACCTCGCCCCACCTACAGTAGACCTCAGGGGGCAGAAAATGAAATATGTCTGTTAGATTTGAATTTTTAAGTAGTAAATAATAAATAACTATTATGATTAATATAATTTTGAGGAGCAAAAATACATGTTTATTTATAACATATTCTTTTTTGTGAAGTTGTAAGGATGACGTCTTTATATTTCATTTTTCAATTTTTTGGATAAAAATATTACATTCACGTATCGTTGATCTAATATAGTTGAAGAGTTGACTTTAATTGGTGAATGGGGAATATCTGTCTACATCAACTCATGGGAAAAAAAAAAAAGGAAGAGAATGGAAGAAGAAAGAGGAACTGTTTGACAATGAAAATGTTATGGGCTTTTGTATAGATCAACTTTTTAACTTCAAATATTCAAGGACAGAACAAGTTCGTTCGGGATAGATAAGTTCGAACATATACATGTGGGCAGAGTTTATTGGATCATACACACACAAATACGCGTCAATGTGTGTTGATTTAACAATAATAAAATTTATGTGTGTGCAGAGTGTACTGCTGGGCATCTTTTTGCATTTTTTTTAAATGACTTTATGAATTAACGTATTCATTTAGGGTTCATTTGAAATTATGTTATAATTATGAGCAATGCTATAGAGCCCACTTGGGTTACAACTTAAGTATAAATATATTATCAAAAATTAAAAAAATAATATATTTACACTTGAGTTGTAACTCAAGTTGTAACCCAAGTGGGCTCTATAGCATTGCTCATAATTATATATATAGAAGTGTGTTCAAATGAGAATGATAGATAGTGGAAGAAATTGAACCTATTAAGTTAATGATTATAATCAAGTCAAACTTTAATAATATCAGTCAAACATGTTATGACATTAGGGTAAATACTTAGAAAATCGTGGACAAATATGTGAAATTGACCACAAATTAAGGGCAGAACATAAAATATAATAATAATAATAATAATTTATTAGTAATAATAATTTATAATAATTCAAAATTGCTTTTATACTAATGGTTATCATTTCACTATTCTGATTTATATGATTTATCATTATTATTCATGCATCGAGTGTTTTGTAATATTTTTGGAAAATAGTTTGATAATTGAGTTATTCGAAACCTTGGGTCATTTCTTGAGAAAGACTATTCGAAACTTCGTTCACTTAGCTAGTCGTCAACCACACAAAAACAGAAAATAAAGTCCTAGTTATTCTAAGCAAGAGATTTGGGTTGATTTTAAACTAATTTTAACTAAGAATTTAAAAATAAATAACTAATTAAAGATGCTAACTTTATTTAAAGATCTAAACTTTACCTAAATCGATGTCTTTAAAACTCGAGAAAAAGCTAAAACAAAGAGAAACGAGCCACATCTAACGCAACTAGAAGCTAAAGTTGACATGCAATTGATTGTCAAATAACCGACCTCTAAACCCAGTATCGACTTTTACTTCAAAATATTCAAACTTTAACTAACCAATTACACTAGATAAGCAAGATAAAATAAAAGCTAGCAACTTTAACTAAAAACGACCACAAACGCATAACTCCGGCCAAGACTCTAAATGTACTTTGAACAACTTCATAAGCGAATAGGACCAGCAATCGAAGTAGTAAGTCATAAGCAAGGTATTTACTCTTCTTTTGCGAGCTCGGACGAAATTAATGCTAAAAGATCGAAACTTTAATAAAAAAGGTATCACCGGAAAAACTCGTGTTTTGAAGCTCGCAAGAACATAAGAAAACAGAGAAAACTGAGAATTATCTAAATCTTAAAATGGAAAAGCGAGAAATAAAGTCTAGGTGCTCTAAATACAAAGGACTAAATGTATTTATACTCCAAGGTTACATACATTGAAACACACACAATTACTGATCTGAACTCGCGACCTAGCCAACTCCGGTTTGCAGCGAGTGTGGGCGAGGGATGCCTAGGCTGCCTGGGCGGTGATGCTCGCGAGGTCGCTGGTTGGGACTCGTTGCGAGTGCATCGTGATGCGCACGGGCGATCGTGTTTCGCGGATTAGGCCTCGCAGCGAGTGTTGGTGTGCCGCGGGTGCTTGTTGTCTCTTGGATGAGGCCTCGCAACGAGTGCTAGCGTGATAGGTGCGGGCATCTAGCAGGCCCGTGAGCAGGTACTCGCGGCGAGTGTATGCAGGCCTCGAATGGCGTCTCACGATTTTGCGGGTGGATGCTCGTAGCGAGTGTTGCGTGTTTTGGTCTCGGATGTTGCTTCGTGCAGGTATCGCGGAACGGGTCTCTCTACGAGTGTCTCGCATGTGGCCTCGGTGTCTCGCAGGTGGATGCTCGGATGATGTATCGCACCGTCGCCAACTGGCACTTGCTGTGCGTGTACGCGTGGTGTTCTTGGTGCAGGTGTCTATAGGGTTGTGTATCTCTCTCTCGGATGACTCGACCATGGCTC